TGGTGTAATGGTGTGGGGGAGATTTTCTTAGTACCAACTGAGCATGGTTTAAACACCACAGCCTACCTGAGTATTGTTGCTGAGCGTGTCCATCCCTTTATGACCACAGTGTACCCATCTTCTGATGGCTACTTCCAGCAGGATAACGCACCATGTCACAAAGCTCACATCATCTAACTGTGTGTCAGGAGGAAACTTGAGGTGTTTTGTGCAGTAGCTGGTCCCAGATCTGTGTCTGTCCCTCCCGGCTCTTTTCTTCTTTATCATTAATAACCAAACTGTATCTTCTGCTTTTTCTGCACTCTGCAAAGAACAAAACAATCCCAGTGTGAATGACTGAAGTTTTATTGAGAACTACAGAGTGTGTGTCGGGTCAGCGTGCACCCTGCTGTGGGACTCATCTGACCCACGGCGGCAAAATGTTCTTAAAATTTCACAGTGCGCTGTTTTTTTTTTTGTTTTTTTTTTATTTCCAAAGTTTTAAGGAAAGTTGACTTGGTCTATTTTATGACAAAACAAACAAACAAACAACCACCATCATAAGCAGCAGCAGAGAGGATTAACTCATTTTATTTTTTTAGTGGTCTGATGATGTCATCAGTCACTCGATGACTTCCTGTACAGCATCAGACTCACGTGATTGGTTCAGATGTCTGTCCGTTCATCTCCTCACACTGAGACTGAAATGGTTCAAAAGTTAAATGAGGTTTTGTTCAGTGACATTTAATATGAAATATCTATTTTCATTTATTAATCTGTCTGTGTGTCTGTGTGTCTGTCAGTTGTTGGAGGTAAAGATGGAGGACTGTCTGGATCGTGGCGACTCTTCTGATCTGGTTTCTCTGCTTCGTGACGAAGGACTGAGCAGCGTCACACTCACCAGACTAGACCAGCTGGTCACCAAGGTAACAGGGTGTGACACGGTGGTCACTGTGACAACCACAGTGTAAATAATGATGATAATTTAATGTCTCTAGCAGTCAGAACATTTCACCTTTATTTTATTGTGTATGTTACATCATCATGCCAACAGACCATAATTATTCTCTCCTCAAGTGTAAACGATTTTATTCTGATTGGCTAAATGTAACTACATCTGTGTGTGTGTTGGCTAAACGTAACCACGTGTGTGTGTCGGCTAAACGTAACCACGTGTGTGTGTTGGCTAAACGTAACCACGTGTTTGTGTTGGCTAAACGTAACCGCGTGTGTGTGTTGGCTAAACGTAACCACATGTGTGTCGGCTAAACGTAACCATGTGTGTGTGTTGGCTAAACGTAAACACGTGTGTGTGTTGGCTAAACGTAAACACGTGTGTGTGTTAGCTAAACGTAAACACGTGTGTGTGTTAGCTAAACGTAAACACGTGTGTGTGTGTTGGCTAAACGTAACCACATGTGTGTCGGCTAAACGTAACCATGTGTGTGTGTTGGCTAAACGTAACTACACTGACTTTAAGATCTTACTCCTCTGTACATCTCCCAGCTCTCAGGTCTTCTTCCGTCCACCTCACTGTTCCTCCAGCCTGCTTGACCACCATGGGGTCATCAGTGTACAGAAGCTCTGCCTCTGAAAGCTCTTAACATCAGCTCTCTCTCTACTTTCAAATCCGGCCTAAAAACTCACCTCTGTCAAACAGCCTGTTCAGTCTGACTCCACCCGTCCTGCCACACACATCCAACATTTACACAGAATTTTATTCACTGTAAAATTGTTTTGCTGAATATTTATTCTCTGTGATGTGAGTCATTTTATTATTTAGCCCACACCGCCAGCCAATCAGCACTCCACACCTGTGGTACAAAGATCATCCGCCAAAAAGGAGCGCTTGCTCTCACAGTCAAACACCAGAAGGAGACAGAGAAACTGAAACACATCAAAATATGGCCAGAGCCGTAACAAGTAAATGTTGTTAGTAAAAAAGCGAGCGGTAAGAATTCTGATGATTATAAAGTTTATTTCTCATTAATAAAGGAGCGTACGTCAAACAGGTGCTCTGACATGTTCTCCCCGTGTCAGCGTGGGTTTCCTCCAGGTGCTCTGACATGTTCTCCCTGTGTCAGCGTGGGTTTCCTCCAGGTGCTCTGACATGTTCTCCCTGTGTCAGCGTGGGTTTCCTCCAGGTGCTCTGACATGTTCTCCCTGTGTCAGCGTGGGTTTCCTCCAGGTGCTCTGACATGTTCTCCCTGTGTCAGCGTGGGTTTCCTCCAGGTGCTCTGACATGTTCTCCCTGTGTCAGCGTGGGTTTCCTCCAGGTGCTCTGACATGTTCTCCCTGTGTCAGCGTGGGTTTCCTCCAGGTGCTCTGACATGTTCTCCCTGTGTCAGCGTGGGTTTCCTCCAGGTGCTCTGACATGTTCTCCCTGTGTCAGCGTGGGTTTCCTCCAGGTGCTCTGACATGTTCTCCCTGTGTCAGCGTGGGTTTCCTCCAGGTGCTCTGACATGTTCTCCCTGTGTCAGCGTGGGTTTCCTCCAGGTGCTCTGACATGTTCTCCCTGTGTCAGCGTGGGTTTCCTCCAGGTGCTCTGACATGTTCTCCCTGTGTCAGCGTGGGTTTCCTCCAGGTGCTCTGACATGTTCTCCCTGTGTCAGCGTGGGTTTCCTCCAGGTGCTCTGACATGTTCTCCCTGTGTCAGCGTGGGTTTCCTCCAGGTGCTCTGACATGTTCTCCCTGTGTCAGCGTGGGTTTCCTCCAGGTGCTCTGACATGTTCTCCCTGTGTCAGCGTGGGTTTCCTCCAGGTGCTCTGACATGTTCTCCCTGTGTCAGCGTGGGTTTCCTCCAGGTGCTCTGACATGTTCTCCCTGTGTCAGCGTGGGTTTCCTCCAGGTGCTCTGACATGTTCTCCCTGTGTCAGCGTGGGTTTCCTCCAGGTGCTCTGACATGTTCTCCCTGTGTCAGCGTGGGTTTCCTCCAGGTGCTCTGACATGTTCTCCCTGTGTCAGCGTGGGTTTCCTCCAGGTGCTCTGACATGTTCTCCCTGTGTCAGCGTGGGTTTCCTCCAGGTGCTCTGACATGTTCTCCCTGTGTCAGCGTGGGTTTCCTCCAGGTGCTCTGACATGTTCTCCCTGTGTCAGCGTGGGTTTCCTCCAGGTGCTCTGACATGTTCTCCCTGTGTCAGCGTGGGTTTCCTCCAGGTGCTCTGACATGTTCTCCCTGTGTCAGCGTGGGTTTCCTCCAGGTGCTCTGACATGTTCTCCCTGTGTCAGCGTGGGTTTCCTCCAGGTGCTCTGACATGTTCTCCCTGTGTCAGCGTGGGTTTCCTCCAGGTGCTCTGACATGTTCTCCCTGTGTCAGCGTGGGTTTCCTCCAGGTGCTCTGACATGTTCTCCCTGTGTCAGCGTGGGTTTCCTCCAGGTGCTCTGACATGTTCTCCCTGTGTCAGCGTGGGTTTCCTCCAGGTGCTCTGACATGTTCTCCCTGTGTCAGCGTGGGTTTCCTCCAGGTGCTCTGACATGTTCTCCCTGTGTCAGCGTGGGTTTCCTCCAGGTGCTCTGACATGTTCTCCCTGTGTCAGCGTGGGTTTCCTCCAGGTGCTCTGACATGTTCTCCCTGTGTCAGCGTGGGTTTCCTCCAGGTGCTCTGACATGTTCTCCCTGTGTCAGCGTGGGTTTCCTCCAGGTGCTCTGACATGTTCTCCCTGTGTCAGCGTGGGTTTCCTCCAGGTGCTCTGACATGTTCTCCCTGTGTCAGCGTGGGTTTCCTCCAGGTGCTCTGACATGTTCTCCCTGTGTCAGCGTGGGTTTCCTCCAGGTGCTCTGACATGTTCTCCCTGTGTCAGCGTGGGTTTCCTCCAGGTGCTCTGACATGTTCTCCCTGTGTCAGCGTGGGTTTCCTCCAGGTGCTCTGACATGTTCTCCCTGTGTCAGCGTGGGTTTCCTCCAGGTGCTCTGACATGTTCTCCCTGTGTCAGCGTGGGTTTCCTCCAGGTGCTCTGACATGTTCTCCCTGTGTCAGCGTGGGTTTCCTCCAGGTGCTCTGACATGTTCTCCCTGTGTCAGCGTGGGTTTCCTCCAGGTGCTCTGACATGTTCTCCCTGTGTCAGCGTGGGTTTCCTCCAGGTGCTCTGACATGTTCTCCCTGTGTCAGCGTGGGTTTCCTCCAGGTGCTCTGACATGTTCTCCCTGTGTCAGCGTGGGTTTCCTCCAGGTGCTCTGACATGTTCTCCCTGTGTCAGCGTGGGTTTCCTCCAGGTGCTCTGACATGTTCTCCCTGTGTCAGCGTGGGTTTCCTCCAGGTGCTCTGACATGTTCTCCCTGTGTCAGCGTGGGTTTCCTCCAGGTGCTCTGACATGTTCTCCCTGTGTCAGCGTGGGTTTCCTCCAGGTGCTCTGACATGTTCTCCCTGTGTCAGCGTGGGTTTCCTCCAGGTGCTCTGACATGTTCTCCCTGTGTCAGCGTGGGTTTCCTCCAGGTGCTCTGACATGTTCTCCCTGTGTCAGCGTGGGTTTCCTCCAGGTGCTCTGACATGTTCTCCCTGTGTCAGCGTGGGTTTCCTCCAGGTGCTCTGACATGTTCTCCCTGTGTCAGCGTGGGTTTCCTCCAGGTGCTCTGACATGTTCTCCCTGTGTCAGCGTGGGTTTCCTCCAGGTGCTCTGACATGTTCTCCCTGTGTCAGCGTGGGTTTCCTCCAGGTGCTCTGACATGTTCTCCCTGTGTCAGCGTGGGTTTCCTCCAGGTGCTCTGACATGTTCTCCCTGTGTCAGCGTGGGTTTCCTCCAGGTGCTCTGACATGTTCTCCCTGTGTCAGCGTGGGTTTCCTCCAGGTGCTCTGACATGTTCTCCCTGTGTCAGCGTGGGTTTCCTCCAGGTGCTCTGACATGTTCTCCCTGTGTCAGCGTGGGTTTCCTCCAGGTGCTCCGACATGTTCTCCCTGTGTCAGCGTGGGTTTCCTCTAGGTGCTCTGACATGTTCTCCCTGTGTCAGCGTGGGTTTCCTCCAGGTGCTCCGACATGTTCTCCCTGTGATAGTCTGGTGACCTGTCCAGGGTGAACCCTGCCTCTCACCCAGTGTCAGATGGGATAGGCTCCACCCCCCCAGCCCTGACAGAATAAGCGTTAAGTCAGCTGGTCAAGTCAAAATGACCACAGACGGCGTGTTGGCTTGCTGCAGCAGGTGCTCCGTCCCCACAGAGCCCTCTGTTTCTGTCCTCACAGTGTGCCGGTGTGGACGGTGGGTCGCTGCTGCTGCTGGCTGTATGTGCTTATGCCCCGCCCACACACACACATTCTCATTGACTGATGAATTGGCGCTGGTTATTTGTGTTATTGTGGCGTATTTAATTATTATTGTTTGCTTGTTTGTTTGTTTCAGGATCTGTGTGGATCCAGGTTCAGCAGAGTTCTGGTTGTGTTGAAGTCTTTAGAGATTCTGTCAGAGGACAAAGACAACCTGCAGACGCTCATAACCTACGGACTGACTGCTAAAGTAATCTGTAATCTAATCTATTAGAGTAATCTATTAATCTGTAATTTATAAAAGTAATCTGTTCCTGTGCAATCTTTAGAAAGAACCTATTATTCAGTAATATATAAAAGTAATCTGTAATCTTCTGATCAGTAAAACATATATGTAATCTGTAATATGTTAATCTGTAATCTATAGAAGTAATTTCTAACCAGTAAATCTGTATCTATCAAACTGATCTGTAAACTGTTAAATCTAAGGAAGTAATCTGAGTAATGTACCCTGTTAGAGTAAAGTGAAGATCATCTGTTTCATTGGTCCATAATATAAGGAGTTATGTATTGATCCATGATAAGTAAGTAATCTATTACAGTGTCAACATAATGTAACAATGTTTGGTTAGTAATCAGGACCTGCATCATCCCATTAGAAATGATAGAAGTGTTTGTATATGTCATTGTTTTTCTGTGTGTTTTTTTTTTTTTTTGTTTGTTTGTTCGTTTGTTTGTTTGTTTAGGTGGTGTTGTGGTTCGAAGCTGTCCATGACCTGCTGACCTCTGACCTCCAGAAGAACTCTGCCTCCCTGCTCTGCCTCACAGAGGAGTTCTATGACTACTTCCTGGTGAGGAGCATTGTTACACCCGCAAACGTAATAATACAAATCTGCAGCTTTGAATGTAATAATCCCACAAACATAATAGCAGCTGCCTACTACAAACGTAACACACAATTTTCCTGCAAATGTAATAACTATTACATTTGCAGGAAATTATTACATATGTGGGAAGGTGAAAATCTAAACTGTAATAACTTCTCACAAATGTAATATGAGACTGAATAATGATCTTTGTGGTTGTTGTTGTTTGTTTGTTTACTTTACCTGCCAATAGTGATACGTGTGTTGACAAGCAACCTGCAGGTCGGGTCAGAAAGTGACAGAGCAGCGTTCTGAGTAAGTTAGAAATAACTTACAGAAACACACACACACACACACACACACACAC